CGCCGCTGTTCAGATCACTGACAGTAATCTGTGCGGCAGTGCGTTCCTCTGCACAGAGTCAGTGAGAGCCAGCAGGGGAGGAGGCGGAGCCCGTGGTCGGCAGCAGGGGAGGAGGTGGTGCCCGGTGACGAAGGAGGAGACGGGCCTGGCAACGGAGGAGGAGGTGGGACCCATCAGCGACCATGGAGGAAGAGGAGGCGGACAGGTAAAGAGTGCGACCAGCCCACCTGAGGGTGACCCTGCATAGCCCACAATAGAGAGTCTATGGTGGGCTCTGCAAGTTCACCCTCAGGTGGGATCTCTAGTGGGCTCTGCAGGGGGTATAACTAGAAATCACGGGGCACCATACAAAATTTTGCTATGAGGCCCTGTAATTTCTAGTTACGCCCCTGAATGCAATCTACAATTCTGACTGCAGAAACAGGAAATTTGAAATACATAAATTTCTAAAAACAAATCCCAGCATAAACATGAAGAATTCTGTGTATATCATTGTTGATCCTTTTATAAGAAACAAAGTATAGCAGTACTTTATAGCATCTATAGCCATGCCCCCTCTATTTAACACCATAGTAAAATTAGGGGAGTAAACAGCAGACGTGTGCTCTGTGACTGTAATCTAAATCAAAGCATATCAGCTACAAAAACTATTCTTTAAATCCAAATTGATCTTTCAGTTTAAATCAGCAAAATACATTCCTGCTGCATCATTTTCTTTAGAAAGCAGCCACAAAAAACCTACCACCTGCCAGCATGTTTTAGCAAAGGACCCTTGCTTTCTGTGTGGATGCAGTGGGCTCTCTGCAGAGGGTAAACACACTCATGCTCCCTGCTGATTGGAAGAGACCACTACTTCCACATGAAAAAACAAGGGTCCTTCTCTACAGCATGCTAACAAGGAAAAGGCTTTTCTGTTCAGGCTGTAGCTACCTTCTAAAGGAAAACCAATTTAAAGACTTTGCAAACATTTTGTTTTGCTGCACCTAGAATGTAATTATCTGCTTTAAATTATACACTAAACATATAAACTAACAGTTGGGCTTTGAAGTCTGTGGATCAGAGGAAGGCATGGGTAAGTTGTTAACTACACTTACCTCTTTGACCCTTATGTTTTATGTGCATCATCAAAGTGTCGGTGCAGTAGTACTTCTAAATGCTGCTTTATGCTCCACCACCTCACCATACTATGTGCTGGCATAATCTGCTATCTCTGACACTCAAGCCAATATGAAAATAGAAAACATTGACTGGCATTAGTTCTGAAAGTACTCAATGTAAATATAGCTCTAAGGATCTGGAATATAAGGGTGATTGAATTCGACTTCCTACACGTAACACGATTCGGAGATAAGGACTTTTTTTTTTTACTTGTGCCTGTGCACTTACAGGACCTGAATTAAACATATAGAGTAAACATGAATTCTATCGAAACAAGTGGATAGTGCTGCACATGGGCAGGGCAGTGTATACCTAGCTCATACCCAGCATGTGGAGCCTGGGACTGAATCTGGGTGCCGTGGACAATGTAACTCTTACAAGCTTGTCAAAAGGAGCACTGGGAACCTGGAAATGGTGGAGAAGATGGCTCTACTGGTGGATGGAGTGGCAAGTGACAGCGAGGGACAACTTTGCCCTGTTTCTGCTAGAGAAGAGAAGTGTAAAAAGCATGGTGAATCATCAGCCATGGTAACTGCTCTTCCACTTTAAAGATAAAATAACTGCTTACAGAAGTGTTTCACAATTCTGTAGCAGCTTTTGTGATGTTTGTGTGGGTAAACCTGTAAAAAAAAATCCTGAACAGTGTTCAGTGTTTGATAAGTGTCAAAATAATATGCATACAAGTATGTGAGTTTCACACACATTCCACTTTCAGTGTTATAGACTTGCTACAAATTAAAATACAAAGTGGCTAGTGACAGTAAAGTAATTACATTAATAAGGTTCAAATCCAAATCAGTAAGATTTTCAAATATAGATGACAGTTTAACAGACATTGATCTTTATCATATGAGAACCTCACAGAAGTATTTAAAATGTTGTTTTACTCATCCAGTTCAGGGCCCATTTGTACCATTCGTACCATCATATATATGTATTGTTAAAAACACAAAGCACTTTTTATGTAATACAAAACAATTAAAGGCAACACAATACATTTTTCCTTTTTTGTTTGCTTTCAATTTCCTCCATAAAAGAAGGGAACTCAATAAAATGTGTATTATGCTTTTAGTGCATTCATTTTCCATAAACGTTTGTATGGCATAAATCAGTTGGAGTCTCAATCAAGCTCTGCTTCATTTCACAAAGCTGTCATCTTACATGTTTTAAGAACTGGAAGTGGGGGAAACTCACTAATCAACTGGGGTTCAATGGGTAGGCTGGACATGGAAAGGTAACACAGTCTGCAGAGCTTTCAATTTTCAACAGTAGTGTGGCCCTCTTGGTTATATACTATGGCATTAAATGTGGTCTTTAAAAAAATGCTGAATTGTATTCTCCAGCAACCATCCCTTATTTTGTATGGCATTGTTTCATGCAGGATGTAGACCTCTACTTTTTACATAATGTCTAATCTGAATACTGTAAGTTTTGGTTTGGTTCTTCAAGCAGGCTATAGACAGTAGTGAACGGTTCCACGTGTATGCTCAATCTGACCATCTCACATTGTCTTTGGACTAGTTTTTCTATTAAGCAGGACTGCTCTAGTCAATTGAGCTTTCCATTTAAGGCAATGAAAGATGGGAAGTGTTCACATAGACCAGGGTGCCCATAAGGTCGATCGCGATCTACCAGTCATCTGTATGCACCCGGGATCCAAGAAGTAAAGAAACCGCTGCAGCTGGCGG